GTTTGAAATAAAATGAATGAACTTCTCGTGATCTACTTAAAATACATGAGTCATATGACCATGTCGATCATAAACCGTAAATATTTGGATTAATTTATCAGTAGGAATGACAAGATAATAATTTGATTAGAATCCATTGTTATCACTTGTGGTAATACCCATTTCGAACGAAAACCAACTTAGGACCTTATTTTGCTCAATCTGAACATTATAAATGAGCACTTTGATATTTTTAATTCAAAAAAAATTAAATAATGATTCACATAATGAGAGGCCCATTAATCAAACATACTAGAGTGAAAAATTCACAGCAGTTTTATTCTATAAGACTTAAGTTATAACGGTAAAGAGAGTTTTTTTAAATTTATTAATAGTAAAAAAGTTCTAAAGTTCTATGATCTTACTATGTAAAAATCTATTTAGTGCTATTGCTATAGAAATAGGCTGATCACTCGACTCAATCAGATGACTTTTTGACGAGTGTAGTCAGATGCAATTAAAAATCGAGATTTTGGGGATCGAGTCAAAGCCAAATTAATTTTAAGAACAGAAAATTTTTAATGTTGTTCTAAGCTCAAAGTTTTGCAATGAATTTCAATGAATTTCGTTCGAATTCAACTTCATTAATGCTTGAATGACATTTAGTTGATAACTTAGCTAAATCAGCATCAACTGAAATACTTTGCATAAATCCTTCTTTACTCTCCAATCCATATTCAATCAACAATATATTGATTACTCTTTACATTCATTATAAAAATAAACTCAAATTCACAAACTATGATTAAATGGCAAACACAACCTATCTTGGTAAAGCAAATTCCATCAAACAATCATATACAAAATTTTGTTTAAATTCTCCTCCATTATTCAATGTTCACTGAAAATAATTCACATTTTTACCATGGCACATTATTCTCATACAGACTTGAAATTCTTCACACTATTCCAACATAACCTTAATTGTTTCTACTGCAATCAATCATCTGAAAATACCATCGCCTATTTTCCTGTCAAGCCAATTCTAATTTGGATTCGATTCCATGGCCAACAATCCAACAATCAATAACATCTCAAACATCCTCCAAAATTACACAAACCAGACAACAACTACAATTTCTATCCAGTGTAACTTCAATCATAATTCTTGCAGCTGGATTAATTCCGTCATCTCTAATTAACTACATATATCAAATATTTACCTTTCACAAAAAAAATCTCAATCATCCTTTACATCATCTAATAAATTTTATTATAAAAATGTGTGGCTTTCACAATGTGCCTCGTTCAACCTGCGGTTAGAACAAAACAATATCAATCTAAAAAACAAAACAACTAATTAATTACACCCAATTAATCAGATGGCACAAATGCCTTCTAGACCTCTTTCAAATTCTAATTCTAGCAATTCTTACATAGTTTTAATAAATAACTTCATTAATACTGGATCTGACTTCCTATTACTTAGGTAATATCCGGATAATATCTATGATGCAGTTAAAATTGTTAAATTTAGAGTGGATAAACTTCATAAACTTTGTTGGCATATCTGTTTTTTCTGAAATGTTAAATTTAAATATATATATATTTTTTTAATTATTTTCAAGAGGAATAGTTTACTTTATTCTAATAAAATTATATGAGCAGGACATTCATATCAGCCGATTTGGTTTTTTGGCCTTTTTTCAAACCTTATGTCTTATTGTGTCTCGATGTTAAACACGAGTATTTTTAATGTGTAAACTGGTCGATAGAATGATAATTACCCTAAAAAAAATTATTTGCTCCGCTAAAAAAACTAATTTACTATCCATCAACCCGTCAAACCAATGGCACCACCTCAAAACCAACGGGTTTTTGCTAGTATAAAGTATTCATAACGTTATGATCATACCGTACTGGATTTTGGGGTTCAGACAAAATCAGCGCATATGTGCCCTTATCAATATATATATATATATATATATAAACCAAATCACAAATCTCAGAGTCTATATTATTCTGATAACCAAACGGACAATTAAAATCCTACTGTTTAGTTTCCGACCACAAAAGTGTTTTATTAAAAAAAAAATTTTAATTTGTAAAGGTTATTACAAAACAGTATATTTGTAAAGAAATAATTTTATATTAATTTTCTGCCTCTACCCTTACGAGCAAGGTCTGAAATATTGACATAAAATTAACCAGTTGGTTGATTTATTCGCTTCTAAAAAATTAATTTCTTTTTGTTTTATAAATATATAAGAAATAAATAAGGATGAATTTATCAACGTGTCGGCCAATAGTTTTTTATCATGTGATCTATCCTTTGCATCCTCACAATATATAATAATAATAATAATAATAATATAGAAATTTTATACAGGATTTGCGGTGTTTACTTTCATTTACGGTGTTTACGGTCATTTGCAGTGTTTACAGTCATTTACAGTGTTTACTGTATTTGCAGGTATTTGCAAGGTTTGCAGGTATTTTAAATGTTTACAATAATTTGCGGCGTTTACAAGTATTTACAGTGTTTAGAGATTTCTTGACAACTACATACTCGGAAAGTTGTCATATTATAGAATGGCCAAACGATTTACAGACGGCATTTATATTCCACACACAATATAACTAATATTGAATAGCTTTCAAATGTTACCGTACACCTTCAACCCTTAGATGTTAGTATAATCAATTCATTTAAAGCTTAATGCAGGAAAACAATCGTGTTGATGGGATAAAACAATAATAAAGATTCATCAGATCCTATTAAGCAAACAATTTTTGCAGCGAAGCGTGACTAATTGTTGTAAGAAGACTAAGATCACGAGAATTATAAATAAATAAAGGAATAAACTCAGCCCACACGGAATTTTTAAATATTGATTAAAAAAATATATTGAAATAGCAAACCCTTCACAAAATAATAAAAGTAATTGAATCTGTTTTCGGTTAAAAATGCTTATCAAAGAATCTTTTAGGATTTCTTAAAAACCACTCATCCAAAATTTTTTTATAACCAACTTTAATTCTTTGTCCATTTCATTCACAATCATTTAACTTTTATTCAGACAATATTAGTTATGAAGCAAACAATTGTGTTATATACAAATTTATTTTTATTGTTTTACGAGATGAATAAATTTCATTTATTTTTTTATCAGAGACCTTTCCTTTTACAGAAATGATTCGATAAATGCATCACAAGTGCATAAATTTTCCGTAAATTTTAACAAAAGATGTAATATTTTATAGCATTTAATAATTGGTCGAATATTTTAATTATGATACAATCAATTAATCGCTTATAGTAACAATTCGACAGCTTCAAAATACTATTAATATATAGGACAAAAAGTTAATTGACAAGTTTTTATTTAAAAAATCTGTGAAAAAATTTTTGAGAAAAAAATTTTTTTTTGTCCTGTTTCCTGTACCTTGTTGTACAATATTTATTAGGTGCAGAAAATTTCCTAAATAATAAATTTACGCGTTTTTTTTTAAACTAATATAAATAATTATTAAAATGTCAACACGTGAATAGCATTTTTTTTTTCTAAATCTATTTCAAGAAACGACTGGTTCAGGTGGATTTGATGAAAGTTTTGATGAAGATGAATTGCCCTTTGAAGTGGATAAGTACTTTGTTGTTGTTGTTGTTGTTGTTGTCTGTCATTATTAGTAGAAGAAGCCAACCTTGAACCGGGTAAATACTTTACCATTGTCATTACTAGTAGAAGCTACTGTTCGAACTGGATGAATACTTGTTATTGCTATTTTTAATATTCTTGATTTTTTGTTTTCATTTTCATAAAAATTTTTTTTTATATATATAATAAAAATTAGCATTGATCGTGTAACAAGGAACAGGAAACCACCCTTATTGTATAGTGATCTGCATTTTGTTAAATTCCCATTAATGGGAGAATTATGAATGAATTTAGTCGATATTTTTTATTACTTGCACCTATTACTATTACTATTACTACATAGAGAAATCGGCACTTTTACCTAGAAAATCCGATATTAATATGTTCCATTTTCATATTCATTAGTTCCCATATATGGATTTTTATACATTAGATTTTTTTTTTACAATGTGGACTAGATGCTCGATTAGTCTAATGAAAGAACTGAATTTGACTTTTCATTTTCGATATATAATATGATCTTCTTGTTAATATCTGAATTCGTTTTTTAATTTGAACGTTTTTTGAATAAGCAAACAACAAACATAATTGTTTACGAACATTTTTGTAGTGAGTTAAAATCCAATCGTGTGAATTTATGTTGGGATACCAAATTTAATTAGTTGCTTTGTATTTACTTTCACGCGCGTTTTCTTAATTTTTTCTTTGTGGGGTGGATTTAAAATTCAATGCAGGTTTCAAATTCACCATAACATTCTCATGCATTAAGAATGTTACGAACCTGTGTTTTTTCAGCCTTCGAGATTAATAAGCAAGTTCATTTCACTACAAATTGACAATTTTAGTTGGGAATTGCCAAAAAATCTCAAAGTCTCGACTTTGTAATGTTCATATTGGGTAAATGAAGTCTTAAGTTGGTTTTTCGTTCGAATTTAATTTTCCTGAATTGTAGTTTATATTCTTTGAAAATCGCAACGATAGATTCTAATCATTATCATCTTGCCATTTTTACTGATTAATTAATCCAAATAAAACTAACCATTGAATCAAAAATGACAAAGTCCAATTTGTTCTTATTTACAATGTTCAGATTGGACAAATAAACTCTCAAGTGATGGCGATGGATTCTAATCTAATCATTTTTACTTATCGATTATCCAAATAAACCAATTAAAAAACGTTTGTACTGTTTTATTTGTTCTCATTTTACCAAATTATATATAAATAAAGATTGTTTTTCATGAACTTACTAAATTGTAATTCCAATTATTTGAAAAACACATTTTCTTATTATTATCATCTATAATATTTTCTTGCAGAAACTATTTTATTTCATACATTTTTTTTTTGTAAGCAATAAAAATGACAAATAGAACAAAACTTATAATTGCAAACATTCTTGTATTCATCTCGTTTGTGTTTCTCTTGCTGGTCAACTTGGGTACAACGGTTATTCAATCAATTTTTATAATGAAATATGAAATTAATAATATAACGGTACAATTGGGGCTATACGGTTCTTGCGTGGGCTCGAATTTCACTAATCCTCTTCATCCCGAAAGTTTATTGGAATGTGCAAAGGGTGGTATGATTAATGGGATTGGAACTTCCGGTACTAAATTTTTGGCAGCTATGCATCCTATGGGTAATTATATTTTTAATGAGAGCCTTCTTCAATAACGTATGAATGAATATTATGAAACTCATCAATGTTTATTTTGGATCTATTTTTTAGCTTTGGTAGTATCGATCTTCTTGATTATTATTGGCTTTATTGCCATTTGTATCCCAAGTGTATTCATTCAAACAGTTTTGGCGGCGATTTCACTAATTGGATCCATCGTAATTCTTTTGGCGATTATAGGCGATATTCTCATTTTTAAGGATGGAGATAGTGCGGCAAGTTTAATTGGTGAAGTGACTGACATAACTAATAGTAATCAAAAATTTGGAGCGGGATTCGGTCTTGCAATCGGAGCTTTGGTATGCATGATAGTGGCGATTATAATGTACTGCAGAATACGACATGAAACTAGAATGATATCCATTAATATTAATATAAAAGCCTAAATTCATAGTAATTTAGATTGTTGTAATTGTATAAATTATTCAAATAAATATGTATAATAATTATTGTTAAATAAAATATTTTAAATATTCATCATGCCAATAGACACACTCTGTTAAATTGGCCATCATAAAATAAAATTTGCGTTGTTGCTTTTTTCTGGATACTAGTGGTTAAGCTATCTTTTCATTCCTTGATTCTATCCGAGGAAGTGGTCCTGGGGGTTTTTAGAGTTTGTATCTGTATAATTGATTTTTCAGATATCCGAGATATTTATCAAACAAAATTTATTTCGGAATAAATAATAAATAAAACAAATCTCGGATAATAACTAATTTCGGTTAAGATTTCGGATAACTTATAATAATAATCAGATTCCGAATTCAGATGTCTGAATTTATCCAAATTTTTGTGTTATGTATACGAATTAATTTTTTTGTTTTTTAGTGATAAATTACAATAACGTTAAAGCAAATATTAATGATATAATTTTAAAATCTAATAATTCAACATCTAGCACTACTAAGATAAATTAGGTAACTAATTAATATAATTATAACCCACTAACAGCTAATACCTTAATGATTAATTTATATTTTTCCAAGTTCTACAAGTAATAATATTGAAAATATTGAAGGATTTTTGAAAACAAGTAAGAATTCCGCTAGGACATGATTATTTTTTGATTGTGTTCAAGTTTCTTTTCTTGAAAAGAAATATGAAATTTTTTTGACACAACTTTCCAAGTATTTTTTTTTTTAATATATACATTTTTTCTCTTGATATAAAAAAAAACTGAAATTTTTATGCAATTTTTTTTTTTTTTGATATACAAAAAATTCTTATTGCGTAACAAAAACAATAAAGTCAAATATCTGGAAACACAGCAGATATTCAAGTATCCGGATGTTTTAAATCCGATGGATGTTGAATGTTTGAAACTCGACGGATATCCGGTTATTAAAACTGAAATTCGGATGACTTTGATAATAAATAACAGATATTAATATAATCGTGTAACAACAGGTCAGATTCTAGTGTTGAAGATAATAAAATTTTACTATTTATTTATTTATTTATTGGTTTTTATTATTTATCTATTTAGAACTACATATAATAATAATATTTCAATTGATAAAAGAACAATTTATTTTTTCTTGAAAATCATAGAATCTGTAAAGAGCTTTTGGCCAAATCAAACCAGCACAGGAGAGTTAGTAACTAAGCATGATATGTTGCTCAAACAACAATTTCTAAATAAAATCTTGTTTTAGATCCAGAAACACAGACTTAATATTAAATCATCAAACCACATTTCCTGAAATTGAAGAAGCGGTTATTATTCGGTTCTCGCATACTTGTTGGTACAAGTAACTTTAACAGTAACTAATGATGTTTTTTAAAAAAAGGCATTAGATGTTTAAAACTAACAATTTAAAAAAGAGATTTAATATGTGAACCCGTTTCAGCAATATATTTGATAATGAAATGCATATTGAAGAGTTTCTGATGCAGGAGTTTCAGCTAAAAATGCTTTTGAAAGTTCAAAGAGTCTTTTGGCATTTCTCATCCGAAATTTTTATATAACCAACTTTAATTCTTTGTCCATTTTCACTCGAATCATTTAAATTATATTTAGAGACAATATTAAGCAAACAATTTATGTTACAAATTTATTTTCATTGATATTTCATTTGGTTTACGAATGAATAAATCTCATTTATTTTTTATCAAAGATCTACCCTTTTATAGAAAATGCCAAGCATTCCCGAATTCGATAAATGCATATTCGTAATAGTAATAGTAATAACAATAATAGAGTAATATTAGTACTTTTGAATACTTGTAACAATTAAGAATGTTAGAATACTCGTAGTATAAAGATATTTTGTAGAAATAAATATATTAGTTGTTGGATATTTTAATTACGATACAGCAATGATGAAAAAATATTGAGAAAAAAAATTTCTTTTTACCCATTCCAAAAATCTGCACTTCTATTAATGGAGAATTATGAATAAATGATTAATTGAATTGGTAATAGTTGATATTTCCTTTATGTATAGCAATAGGAAGAAACTTACGTTCTTATTTTTTTTGGCGCAGAGATTTACTTGAAATAAGAATTGCTAAGAAACAACTATATCATCATCATCAGATATAGTGATGGGACCTCATCCTCTTCGCTTTTATTTGTTGATTCATTGCCTAAAATATTGAAAAAAAAGATATTGGATGAATGACAAGGCTCGATGAACCCTTTTTTGGTTTGTTGCACGCCATAATGTAAATAAATAGCCAAAAAAAATTTGTCATTCAAAAAAACACAATAAATTAACCAAAATTAGTGATTTTGCATAATGCCATGTTATGACCCACAAACTTTATAGATAAATTTATAATATAAATAATAATACTTTATAAGTACAGTAAATCTTTTATATTATAAATTATAAAATTGTTATAATCAGTTGATCGGTCAAATCAATTGAGTGGTAATTTTAATTAGACAGTTTCAAAATTTATATGTTACTATATATTATGGGTCAAATTATGTTCTTTTTTCTAATGTTATTGCAAACCTTAGTGTCAAGTTATATATTAAACTTAATTTTGGTCTAGGTCAAATCATATAACAAACAGTAATTTTGTTACTGACCTATCTATGAAATTTGTGAGTCCTGTCATGTTATAAACTATCGTCACCAGAAAGAAGGGTATTTGTATATAGTCGGACTCCTATATATGATGCGCCTTATCTAAAGACATCAAAAAAAAAAAAAAAAATGCAAATCTTTAAACCCTGATAACTTTGGAAATATTTGTTGGTACATAAAAAACTCTCGATTTTTACAATCTTTGGAACATAAGCAACAATGTAATAGAGAGATTTTTAAAGTTAATTAGTAAAATAAAAGGTTATGGAGGTTTAAAATTAAGTAATTTTATTACGATATAATTAAAAAATTCGGCACGCTTATCAAACTAATTAGATCAACTTTTATCACGTGATGCATCTAACAATCATTCAACGTTCAATGATAATATATCTACATTCATTAACATAAATTCTGACAATTTTCTATGAGATTTATATTTTTTTTTTTTGCTGCAAATATTAAAGCTTTTCCTGAAAGTCCTAATCTATATAAGCACTCATAAATCTATAACATTTTCTAACAAAATTTCCAATTTTACAAAGTGAAACCGAGTTCAATGCCAGAGGAACAGTTCTCTTTAATTCTTTAAATAAATAATTACAATTTTTTCTAGTGTATTCTTTACTTACACCCAAAAACTTTCTAATTCACAATGATTTCTTAGCACCATATTAATATCTGAACGATTTCTTAAATCAGGAAAGATCACCATTAAAATTTTAGGAGAATGGCGCAGCATTTAATGTCTTTAGATGCGGCGCACCATAGTCACATCCTATATTAGTCGTGTGACATTTCCCTGAGGCTGCTTTTCTATATGTGAAAATAAATTCGAAATTCGTGTCACATGAAGTTTTT